TGGCTCCTTTCCTCTCTAGTCTGCACTGGCTCTGTGCAGCCACACAGTGGAGCTGGTACCTAGGGTGGGCCCAATGCATTCTGGATTACTGGCCCTGTCCTGGAAAGCCTGGGCCTGCTGATGGTAGCAGAGTCTCCTGGGCCATGGCCAGTTTTGAGGGACAAAGGGTAGCTGGCACCCCTACCCAATGAGTGCCGACTCAGCCAGGCTTCCGCTCTGTAGCATTTGGATGAGGTCAGGATCCCCCAGAGCTGCTGGCAGAAGAGGGGCTATGACACACTCACCATCCCGGACACCCTCCTGGATCATACGAGTGGCAATGGGTGCCTGGCCTTGCCCCAGCGATAGGGCATGGAAGCGCTGAGCCACACCCGACTGCTCGGCCAGCTGCAGTAGTGAGGAGGTGGGATCCACGCCAGGGGACAGGACGAAGATCAGGGGAGTCCTGGGTGTGGAGTCATCCACTACCTGCAGTGGTGGGGAGCAGAAGCTGTATGCACCAGTGGGGAGAGAGATCTGGGCTTCTCCATGTGCCAGGTGGCTTTGGGGTGGGAAAGATGATCTGGGGCAGGATGTGGCAGAGTGGAAGGCCAGCTTAGAGGGGACATGGGAAGGTGGGTCGAGGGAGGGGCTCGAATTCATCTAGCTAACGGCAAACTGGTAAACTGAAATGTATCATTTAGGGTACATCTACACAGCTATGCAACTTCAGCTATGTCAATTGCATAGTATAAGTCGAAATAGCTTAATTCGGCTTTTGGCGCTGTCTATACAGTAGGAAGTTAAAGGAAGAACACTCTTCCTTTGACTTCCCTTACTCCTTGTAAAAAGACGGTTATTTACCTTTGTAACTGTTGTTTTTCTAGGTGTGTTGCTCATGTCCATTTAATGTAGGTGTGCACACGTTGCATGCATGTGTTGTCGGAAGTTTTTCCCTTAGCACAGGGGTGGGCAATAATTTTTGATGGGGGGGCCAATCCAAGATTTTGGAAAGTGGTCGAGGGCCACACTCTTCCATGGTAGGGTACGTCAACACTACAAAGTTAATTCGAACTAACAGACATTAGTTCGAATTAACTTTGATAGGCGCTACACTAGCGCTCCGCTAGTTCGAACTTAATTCGAACTAGCAGAGTGCTTAGTTTGAACTAGGTAAACCTCATTCTATGAGGACTAAGCCTAGTTCGAACTTACTAGTTCGAATTAAGGGGTGTGTAGCCCCTTAATTCGAACTAGAGGGAGGCTAGCCCTCCCCAGCTTGCCCTGGTGGCCACTCTGGTCAACACCAGGGAAACTCTATTGCCCCCCTCCCGGCCCCGGACCCCTTAAAGGGGCACGGGCTGGCTATAGTGCCCGTGCCAGATGCAAGCCTGCCAGCACCCAGCTAGCAGACCCTGCACCTGGCATGGCTCGAGCCAACCACCCGATGCCCCCCAGCCCACCCCCTCTTCCCTGGGACCAGACTGGCGGCTCCCGGGCTTCATTTGCAGGAGCGGTATGCCTACATTACCCCACTAGTTCGAACTAGCGGGGTAGTGTAGACATACCCGTAGATCTAGAATAGGACGTAGACCTCCTTTCGCTTTGGGAATAAGGAAGTATCGGGAGTAGAAACCCCTTCTTCTGAACTCCTGCAGGACCAGCTCTATGGCCCCTAGTAGCAGGAGTGCGAACACTTCCTGCCTTAGCAGGGTCTCGTGAGAGGGGTCCCTAAAGAGGGACGGGGAAGGGGAGTGGGAGGAAGGAATAGAAAGGAAGGGTATAACAATCCCTTTTTCACCAGGTCGAGTACCCAGTGGTCGGAGGTTATCTTGGACCAGGCCTGGTAGAATAAGGAGAGTCGGAACCAAAAGGGGGCGTAGAGAAGACCTGACCAGTACTCTGCTCTCGATTGTACCTTCAAAATGAAGGTTTGGGCTGCTGCCCCGATGCAAGGCAGACCCTCTGTCTGAGTCTGATCTTGAGCCCCTGCACCTGTTTCTGTACTGCTCGTTACGTCCATTAATGCAACCTCTCCTTCATCCCCTATCGGGCCCAAACCCTCGCTGGAAGGGTCTGGGGTTCAGCCTAGTGTTGACGGCCTCCTTTGTGGCACTGGGGTATGTATTCCCAGGGACTTCAGGGTTGCTCTTGAGTCTTTGAGGCTATGAAGCTTGGAATCCGTTTGCTCGGAGAACAGGCCTGATCCCTCAAAGGGGAGATCCTGTAGGATGGTCTGTACCTCCGGCGGGATACCTGAGACTTGTAGCCACATGCTACGCCTCATGACTATAGCCGTGGCCATTGTCTGGGCCGCTGAGCTGGCCGCATCTAGGGCTGCCTGCAGAGTTGTGTGTGCTACCGTCTTCCCTTCCTCTGTAATGGTGCTGAACTCCTGGTGGGACTCTTGGGGGAAGCGGTCCCTAAACTTTTGCTTTGACACCCATGTATTGAAGACGTACTGTCCCAGCATGGCCTGCTGATTTGCGATGCGTAGCTGTAGTCCCCCCAAGGCATAAGCCTTTCTGCCAAGGAGGTCCAGCTTTTTAGGCTCTTTAGCCTTTGGCATCAGGCCTGGTGGCCCTTGTTGCTCCTTCTGGTCTGCTGCTTGTACCACCATTGACCCCGGCCGGGGGTGTGTGTGTGTGTGTGTGTGTGGTAAACAGATGTTCACATCCCGCCTGGGGCACAAAGTAATGTCTTTCCACCCCCTGCTGTGTGGGTGTAATAGATGCAGGCATTTGCCACAGGGTCTTTGACAGTTTATCAATTGTCTTGTTCAGTGGCAACACAACACAACCCAGGGCTGATGCAGCTAAAATGTCCACCATGGGGTTCACTTCCTCCTGGACCTCCTTGGCTTTGAACTCCAGGTTGGTCGCCAACCTTCTCAACAGGTCTGATGGGCCCTGGCATCCATGGAGGGGAGCTGGGGAGGCTGGGTCCGCCAATGACTCATCCAGCAAGGATGAGGAAGATTCTCTTGCCAGTGCCTGCTGGTCACTCAAGTCAGTCACTGGTGGCTCCTCTACTGTCAATGACCCTGCCTGCCCCAGTCCCGCTGGGGGGGGGGGCCCC